TCACTCAAATTGAACGCAAGTTTTTGGTGACATTTTTTACTTGAGATGCAGTTGTAACCAACGTTGTATCATGTAATTTAATATAGCTATGAACTTAAATCCTTTAATGGCATCTGGATGCTTTGATGCCTGAGATTGCTTTTGCGTGGGATTGATTTTGTGGGGAAGTGGAACCATATAAATAAACAGAATTAAAATAGGGTGGTGTATTGAATTAAATTACCTTAACCTTTTGTGGTTAGAAAATACATTTGTAAAAAAATAAAACATAAAAATGAAAATCCATAGATGTCTAATAATAATAATAATAATAATAATAATGTTGTAGGGTTTTGTTTTTTTTAAACTGGTTTTTATTCCTAAAAGTCAAATTTTTCAAATAAAGTTTAGTTGTATTTGTACTCAGGTGAACTTTTGTACTTTTGTTTCTGGCTCAAACAGAATGACAAGCAATGTTGCTGAAATAATTTATTCAAAGAACAGGTTTGGGAATAATGTCAGGCATCTTTAAAAAGACGATTTTCACATATGTAACACACAGACAGTCTAAGGTAAGCCAGCCTTCTGCCAGCATCATGTGCCATCCAATAAGGATTCCATTTATCCCACAGCAGCAACCTTTCTTCATACAAACAAACCTAACAAAGCTCTCCGTTTTTCCACAGGTTTTCCTCTGTGACAACGGCTCCTATGGATCAAACTTTAAAAAAAATGTGGTCAATTAGCTCATAAATTAAAAATAACTTGTTTTCAAAAGTGGTAGTTAGAGTGCAAATGCACAATTATCAAATACGATTAAAACTTAAAAATATTCCATCTTTTGACCTCTTATGTAACAAGGTTGTTCGCAGCACATGTCAGTTTAGCAGAAAGCTGAAAAAAATGCAGCAGCGAAAATCTTTGAAATGACGATTAAGCTTTTAGCAAAGTTGGAACTGCAGAAGGAAACAGATTATAAACACTAATAAATATAACAGACCGATTGTCTAGGAAGGCTGATGGTTTGACCTGACTGGGTCTTCTTCGTCTTATAGGGGATCCATTCTGTTTTAATCAGACCACAGCTTCATCAGCAGTAATACTGTTCCTACATTTTAAACAAGGTTTCTAAACATACACATGAATTATTACAGTTAAGATCAAAAAATGTAAACTAAGCACAGCAAAAATGTAAGACCTTTCTACATCCTTTCCTTAGGAAACCAAACTGTCACCTCTTTTACAGCAGTTTCTCTTCCAAAGTGTCAGTGTTTCATCCTAGTCCTACTGAAGTTTTTCCTCAAAGCCTGAAAAGAGTCCTGGAAGTACAAATAAAATGTGGATAAAAGCAACTAAACATTCAGGGTGACATTCCTCAGCTCCAGGAGGTTTGGACCTCCTTTTTTAGAAGGACATGATGGTTCTCTGGATGATATCGGCGCATTCAAGAAGCTCATGCTCCTTGATGACCAGAGGCGGGGCCAGTCGGATGATGTCCCCATGAGTGGGCTTAGCCAGGAGTCCGTTGTCCCGCAGGCGCAAGCAAACCTTCCAGGCATCATAATCTGTCAAACAGGAAGACAAAGTCAAATACTAGTTTATAAAATCATAGATATTGGAATTTGAACCACATTTGATTGTTTATGAAAGAAAAATTCCTTTAAAAATTATCAAAACTTAATGATTCCAGTGATCAGATTATTCAGCTGACCTGCTAAGTTACTGTAATACATTACATTTAGGCAGTAACAGAGTAATATAATGTTTTAACAAACTAAATTTTGTAATTCAGGCCAGATAATAGGATACAATCCAAACTTGTCGGTTTTGGAGGAAAAACAAAAATAAAAAAAATAAGTCAACAGTTGCCGCCCATCAATGTGGGAGAATTTCAGGTCATTGCTAAATTCAGTAATTCAACGTTGATCATTTTATACTTGGATTATTATCCAAGGTTGACTCTACAGTTGTCAACAACATAAATGTTGTCATGGAGTATGATTTTGTTGGAACAATCTGAAGGAGGTGACAGCCTTTTTAATATTCCATTTATTATTTCAATGCTCAGTTTCTCTTATTTTACAAAAACAGGAAAAAACTAGTAGCTACTCAGGACTGGACGTGCACCGCTGATCCTCTGAGGTCTACATCATTGTGACTGCTTATGGAAGATGTTGATAAAGTCCAATCAAGACTGACAGTTTATGAAGGGTGGTTGCCCAAGGCGGCATTAGAGAGGATTGGAGGCGGTAAGCATATACACACAATGTGGGGAAAAAAAACAAAAAAAACGAACTTGTCAGCTGCAGGTTTCCTAAAGCTTTAAGCTTGTGCTGTTAATGAGGGTTTCATGCCCCCTGTGTGCCACATTTTATAGCAAAACTACTTCAGATTCTTTGTTAGAGCTTTTACTGCATGTCCTGTGATTATTTGCCAACATCATATGCAGAACTTTGCATCCGTCCTTACCTTTAGTCTCTTTAATCACAATAGCATTGAGGAGGCCTTTTCCTCTGACGGTTGTCACAATGTCTTTGGGCAGTTTTCTCAACTCAGACCTTAAAAGCTCTCCCATCCTTTCAGCATTTTCTGCAAGCTTCTCTTCCTCCATCACCTGCAAAGAGAAAAAAATAAATAAGAAAACTAATTTTAGTTCCAAACAGCTGCTCGAATAAGAGTCCTAAGATGTTTATCTTTGAGAAAGACTTAAAACGATTCAGCTTTTCTGGAAAACTTATGTTTTTTTAGGAAATTAAAAGAGGAAGCAGCTTTTAGAGTTTATGCTTAGTTAAATACTAACCTCCAGAGCTGCAATAGCAACACGACAAGCCACAGGGTTCCCTCCGTACGTGGATCCATGTTCCCCAGGCTTAATAGTCAGCATCACCTCGTTATCACAGAGCACAGCAGACACCTGAAGCGAATCAAAGGAAATTAAGTTAAAGCTTACAAAAGGTTTAATCAATCTTTAATTACAAAACCCTTACAGGATAAACTCCTCCAGAGAGAGCTTTGCCCAAAACCACCAAGTCAGGGCGAACGGCTTCGTGGTCTACAGCCAGCCGTCGACCGGTCCGTGCCAGGCCTGTCTGCACCTCATCAGCGATCCACAGAACCTGCAAAGACAAAACAGGGCTTCATCGGTGACCTCAGGAGCACTTAGAACTACTGATGGTGTCATTGCTGGTAAAACAGGATTTTTTTTTGGGATTGAACGGTTTTTATTGCAGCTGTAAAATCAGTACATTGAATATTCCAGTTTGGAAATAGAAGAATAAACAGAAAAATAAAGAGAAGTTTTCTCCATCCTCCATTTCTTTTCCTTTTATGCCACTCTTCAAAAAACTTCCCTCGGTTTTCTTCTTACCAAATACCTGCTCGCAAAGGTGTGATTCTGACGTAATCTTGCAGCAATCCACTCACTTATCCACATACCAGCATTGAGTGTTTCTGAGGTCATTTCTGTTCACGCTGATTCAGCTACAAGATATGCAACTGCTAGACTTCCCACACACCCACTTTCCAGGAAAATAAGGCACTGTGAGAACTGAACTTTCTCTGCTCTCTGCTACTTTTGTTTGATAATCTTATCAGATGATGAAATGTTATTTCATTTGGTTCTCAATGCATTTCAGGATAATTTAAAAAGTTTAAAATATCCTGCAAATATTCCCAGAGGTCACATTAACAATTTGTTTTAGAGGAAAAAAAAGGTAAAAATATAAGGTAAGAGTTCATGTTTAAATGGCACACAGATGGATGGGTGGACAGATGGAACAAATTTTAGATAAGAATTTTGTAAAATATGTTTATTTAGAACCTTCAACTAGTTTTAATGCAGAGAACAACTGTAATGTTCCACCTCATGGCAATAGAGGAAAATACAGTAAAAACTAAACTCTGGTAAAACATCCACGGTTTATTTGCGGCACATTAAGTACAAGGTTCTTATGACCTCCTTTGCTTATTACACTTTTATTATAGTACCATTATATTGACTTACATTGTATTTTGTGCAAAGTTCTCTGACTTTAGTCAGGTAGCCCTGATCGGGTACAACGACTCCTGCTTCTCCTTGGATAGGTTCAACCATGAAAGCAGCAACATTTTGGTCCTGAAGGGCTTTCTGGAAAAAAAGAAGTGGTAAAAAGTTAATTCCATTTATTTATAGATATTTATGCAGATATCAGAGGAGTTTGAGAGTCAAATATTCTTCAAACACTGTGAGAAAAGGAGGAATGAAATTTAACCAGGATCAGAAAAAAACTGTAAATGCACATTTATGAGTAAGACGCTTCCATGCAGCATGCATTTAAAAAACATTTAATAACTGTGTTCTGTACCTCCAGTGCAGGGATATCATTAAACGGGACGAGCTCAAAGCCAGGCATGTATGGACCAAAACCCTTATAGCTACTAGGATCAGTGGAGCTGGAGATGGCGGCCATGGTGCGACCCCAAAAGTTCCCCTCTTTAGAGACAAACAGTCAAAATGTTATTTTAAAATATAGCTCTACTTTACTGTGGCAGTTGGAAATATTTCAACATAAGATGGCGACTTGCCTGCAAAAATGATCTTGGCCTTATTGTCTGGAACCCCCTTCACATTGTAGGCCCACTTCCTGGCAAGCTTACAGGCCGTCTCACCACCTTCAACCCCTAAGTTCATAAAAAACCAAGGAGTCCTCTAAGTTTAATCTCATAAAAACCTTGGAGGACACACAGGCTCAAATTCAGGACTTACCTGTATTCATGGGTAAAACTTTGTCATATCCAAACATGTTGGTGATGTACTCCTCGTAGGCTCCCAGAACATCATTGTAGAAGGCTCTGGAAGTCAAAGCGAGCCTAGATGCCTGCTCGATAAGAGCGCCGACAATTTTAGGGTGGCAGTGACCCTGATTTACAGCGCTGTAAGCACTGAGGAAGTCATAGTACCGGTTTCCTTCCACATCCCACACATAAATTCCTTTAGTCAAGAGATAAATAAATGAGTACAGATGTGATGGGGATCAGCATCGTTTGTGGAGGTCGTGCTCATCGACTCACCCTCGCCTCGCTCCAAGGCCACAGGGAGAGGATGGTAGTTGTGCGCTCCATGCTTCTCCTCGCGGGCAAAAATTTCCTCTGAGGTTAGCTTGGATGCGACGGAGGGTCGTGTACGGGTATGGACACCCCTCAGGAGAAGCGGCGCAGTGCGGTTAAGGCTGCGGCTTAGCTGAAGAATCATGCCGTTCATGTTTGATACTGCATTCAGGAACAGAGAAAGACAGAAAGCAAGCTTTGACACTGTGAACATATTTCACCAGTGGAAATACATTCAGTCTGTAAGCAAATATAAAATATTAGAAACATTTGACAGTCAAAAACTAAGTCTGTTTGAGTGATTATATTCATAATGCAAATGTGACAGAAAGCTGTCCCTTTGCAACTTAAATCTCCCACTAAGTGCACACCCAAAGGTAACTTGTACATTTATAAACTGTTAATAAACCAACGTAAATTCATTTTGAGGGAAGTTCTGATAAACCTCACTTTGATGCAATAAACAGACCTTTTTTTTCCCAGTAAAACTTTAGGCTTACTGGCATAGAAACAAAACTAAGAAAATCAAAAATAATAGATTATCCACTGAATATTAAAGCAAATATTTACTTCTAAAATAAGAACTATTTGAAAATGTAATAAAGAACTAACTTTTAAAATAAAATATGAAGACAACAACTGCATTAAAAGTGAATGTTTTCAAAACAATAGACTTAAAAGATTTTTCCTTGCATCTTAAATATACATTTCAAAAGATTTAAAGGGATTAAAATGCATGAAATTATCAAACTTTAAAAACAAGATACTGACTATTTAAAGGTAATAGTTAAAACAGTTTGTCTCCAAGATCTTTGCATCATAAACTTTTTTTGCGAGGTGTTATCCCTTCTTCTACCAAAGCGGTTTTGCAATTTCTTGCATGTTTACCACACTAAATACTAGGGCTGGATATTTTCTCCAAAGTCCTGAATTAATTCGATTTTGATTCATACAGCTCTAAATCGATTAATTTCGATTCAATCTGTTTTTACAATAATGAAAGTAAAACATTCATGTATTTTATTTTTTCCTTTCATATTAAACACAAAGTGCAAACTAGTAAATCAGACAGTTTAAACTTGAGATGTGAACAAAACTGTCTCAAAAGTGCAAAGTGTTTGTGAAAACTTAAAAAGCCTCACTCGAGCAAGCAGATGTGTCACAGCGGGGACACAGCAGACATGCATGAGCTGCATTATCTTCACTGCACAAACCATATTTACAGCGTTGTCTGTAACAACTACAGGGTGTTTGCTGGTCAGCACCCATTTATTAATGTCTTCAGTCAACCTATTGGCTATATTTGCAGCTGTCTGGCTTAAAGTGTTTTGAGTGCATCTTTCCTGCTCATTTGAATGTGAACGTCACGCACGTCACTATAAAACTAATCAATCTCATTCCGTAGACATCGATTTTGCAAAAATGTAAGGGAATCGATTCAAAATCGATTAAATCGATTTTTTTACCCAGCCCTACTAAATACATCAAAAACGGATCATTTATCTCAGCATTACGTGTAATCAAATAAAGGATTTTAATTATTGCTGAACCAACCAAACACGTGTCAAATTCAGTTTCCAGCACATAGAAGCCGGAGGAAGAAGTCATTTGACTTGTTAAATCAAACAGATTTTTTTTTCTTCTTCTTTTTTTCAAATTAGAGGAGTGGAAAAAGAACAAATGTACCAAAGTGAAAAAGATAGGAAAGTATACCATTGGGCTTATCCTATTTTACAAAAATCATGACTGACAATAAAAAAACTAATAATTAGTGTATTTCACAGCTTAAACAAAAGCTTTTTTTTTTTTATTTAGGTGTCTACATATTGATACTATAATGACTTGAAGACAGTAACCCAAACCGATGTAGTCCAAGTTCTTCACATTTCATGAGCGGAGGCCAAACCTACTGCAGTATTAACTCTCAGAGAGCACAGAGGTCTTTTCAGGTCTGCTGAACCGAGCTTCTCTTTCACACCCAACACAAAGAAAAAGCCTGGATAGGAGTTAACACACACAGCCGCATGAAAGGTTCTAGACTTTTCCACTGAAACACAATCCAAACATTTGTTTTGAAGAGTTAAATAAAACAACTTCTTTCAAAAGTTTAACATTTGGGAATAAAGATACAGGTACATGTATAGAAGTTAAAATCCAGGTTAATTTTAATAACTGGATAAAAAAATCTCAAGCTCTTCTAACGTTGATCTCCTTCACTCAGTGATCAAATGCAGGCAAGGCTAGAAAACTGTTGGATTAATTGGATAATTGAAATAATCTTCAACTAATTTAGTGTTTGAAACACCAACTAGAGTGTACAGATTTTAAACATGTCATGTATTGATAGAAAAATCCACTCAGATTGTCTCATACAGTTGCACTTCTGTATGAATCATTTTAATGTCATGCAATAACATATTTTTTGAGAACAGAATTAAGGGATTGCATTAGTTATAGCGATGCAAACCTTAAAAGAAATAAATATCATGCACAAGTTTCACAGTTTGAATCAAATTACTGAAAAAAATTTTGGTTTTTGATGATCTAATACTGAAATCTACCTGTGAATTACAAAGCTATTCTAGTTGGCTTATGAGTGCAAGATGGCATCTAAGCCCTTAAATATTTCAAAAGACACTTTGACTCGCGGCAAAAGGGTGAAAATTCACCTTTAGATGAGTAAACCTAAGAACCACGTGGGGTAACCCAGAGTTTGTAAATCAATAAGCTGAAACAACAGTGAAGCTGGCCTGAGCCTGGGCACATCCTTCAGTTCCTGACAGCTGATAGGTTACCGAGGATCTGCCTCCATAGCACCGCTGACCTCAACGAGCCAAGCTAAATAAAGAACTGCGTGATCGTGTTCAACCTGTTCATACGTGGAAATGTTCAATTCTCACGGGCCAATTTATGTTGTGTAATACGGCATCACTTTGTAAATTTCCATAACGGTTACCCATCCGGAAGAGGGAAAGAAAAAAAGAAAAAAAGACAATTTTTCCGACTGAGTATCTGCCTAAATGTAACCAAACAAAGGACGTAAACCAGTAAAATATAAAATGGACTAAACGTCCAACCCCCTTTGGGAAGCATACCTGTTGTAATCTTATGATAGTCAGTTTTCCTACTCTTTGCCCGCAGGTATAATTCAACATTCTTATTCTCAGTCAACAACGGTTAAATGAAAGAAAGGGGATTGAAACGTTACCTTTTATAAAAAAAATAAAATAAAACAATGGACCAAGCTGCCTTTCTTTGGTGATGCTCGACGCGGTAAAAAATGTAATGCGCGTGCGGTTCCGGTGCGGATCTCTAAGGTCTGTCCAACGTGCTTACGCCGTGGCTCTATGTGCGTGCCGACGTCAGAGGGAACGCCTCCATGCTGCAATTCTTACAGGAGATTTCTTCTTCTTTTAAAGCTTATTTAATAGAAGTCAAACAATATTTTCATACAATTCATCTTTCTTCTCATCAGAAAACTCAAAAAACCATAACAATCTGTTCCCAACTAGAAATTCTAGACAACTTAATGTTGTAGAAGATA